AAAAAAAAAAAACACTCACGCACACACACGTACCTACCTACATACATATCTATCTACATCTTATTCAGTTGAGCTCCGTTAGTACAGCTAAATGTCCTTAAAAACATATATATTTCAACACTAAAATACTTCGATTTTCTTTTTTTTTCTTCCCCATTTCTAGAAATAGAAAACCTTAAAACTTTTTTTTTTCTTGGCCCCAAATATGCACAGTGTTAGCGTTGGTTTATTATAATTCCCAAATAGCAACTAAAAAACACAAACACCGAATAGCGAAAGAAAAAGAAAAAATCCCTCATCAAAGAAAAAAACATTTGGCTATCGGACGTATATGTAACCAGAGTCCATCAGAAGAGACCGGTCCAAAAACAAAAGCAGAATCTACAGCAAACACTGAATCCTTTGATGCTACTCAAAAAAAAAAAAAAAAACTAACAACAAATGTTCGATTGAAAAAATGCGTCTTTTTCTTTCTTTCTTTTTTTTTCTTAAATTCCTCTATGAATTAATCGTGCTAGGAAGACTTCGTAAAACGTAACCTCCCTTCCCTAACTCCTCTCTTTCGTTTGTTGACTATGAAATATTTGAGCTGAGCAATCATTAATCTTAAAGTGGATGCCTCTTATTTCACAGTGGTTTTGATTGCGTTTTTGGTGATGGTTCAGATGGTTCAGACAAACCTGTGAAGGTCGGACCCACTGAACAGTCCAGTGTGTTGAAAGATATCGTCGAAGCCAAAACCATTCAGCTGATAAATTTAGATCCTGATAACTTCCAACAGTTGATACAGCTAAGTTGACGGCGTCACTTAATGTCTTCAGTAAACCGCCACCATTCCGTTGCCTACTGCTATTTTCAGATGTTTTTTTTAAAAATACGGTATCAGAATTGATATTTCGACGACGACCAGTATTAAAATGAGAACTTTCTGCTGTCAAAACTGTGGACATATTTTTACCATAGTAATTAGTCATTTCTGGTGTAAAACTGGTCGTCGTTGGCGGTGTTGTTGTAGGTGATAATTTTTGCATCGGCAGTAAAGAGTCTATAACTTTTTTCATCTGGGTTATTTCGTCAAAATCCAAATAATAATCTCGATTATTATTTAAATAAGGTGATCGATAATGCACAGTTTTAGGTTGCGCTGATAGTGAACATCCTTGCTCTTCATTTACCGTTTCCGAAAACATCGTCTTCCCAAACATACAGTTAGCTCTTCTTGGTGCGATACCTGGTAACGGACCGATGTTTGTGAGATTCTGTTCAACGGCTAAGCGTTGATGAAGTAGTTGTAGCTGATGATGTTGTTGCTGTTGATGATGACACTGTTGTAGATATTTGAGGTTCTTTTTAGGTGGTTTACATTTCCTTAATGGATAAACTCCATAGATGTTTGGTACGCAAGCACTAGTTGACGGTTCAACCTGTATGGTATCTGAATGTCCGGTGTTCGGCAAAACTTCAGGTTCAAAAATTGGCTCACCTGGAGCATAGCCAAAGTCGTAACGACTGGAACTCCACGTTGTATGAGGCTGTTGAGTAACAGACGTTTTATTTGCGTCAAAAAAATAACTGTTAACAGCTCCATTTAAATTAGTACCATTATCCCAAACTGTTGAACAGTGGTTTAGAGTTTGAAATGACGGATCTACTTGATAGTTACAAAAATATGGGACAACCATTGG